ACTTCATATTCATTCATTGATTTTACTTTTCATAATAGTATATCATTGAGCTCCAATGGGAGCAAAAATGGAGGCCAGGGCTTAGGTCAACTCTCACATAGACACCCCTGTAGATKTTTGTACAATATTGATGGCACACGCAGAAAGAAATTACTAAATATCTGGATCAATAGCTCRTTTCCCTAGCTATGACAGGTTGTTCTAGGTGAAAATATAGAAATACCTCTTTATGGGTAGTGGTCTAATGCTGCCTAACAGTGCTAAAAGCACCCCTTAAGGTAAACTCTTTGATTAGTCAAGGCCAGAGGTGACTAAAGAGGTCTGCATATTCCAGGATGCCACACGTCCAATGTCCTGGGGATAGTAATGCAYACAGGGGCCTAGTAAAAAGGCCAATAATACAGCAAGTCACAAGCCCTGGGCTAGGAGTCCTGACCTTCCAATTTATTTGTACTAACGATGGGCTCAAACAAAGCACTTCATTCCTAGTTACAGTATGTTCAAAAAATGATGAATAGCRTCAATATTTTCTTCTTAGATTTGATGCTGGTACCAAAACTTGACCTGGGAGATTCATGGGCTTAGAGAAACACAGCCTGTTTAAATCAGGGTGAATATGAGGAGCCCAKAGTAATCAAATCATGCCACATGGTCATAACATCCTGCTGCTGGTAATGGCAGAAAAGCTTTTTGTTTTTATTTACAGTGCAACACAGGAGAACAAAATCCAACTTCACAGCTTCCCCATCTCCACAGAGGCCAGAGGGCCATAAAGTGGGAGGAAATGCATCATTGCCTGCTTCTTAATTAAAGGAAAGCTGTTAGGTTCATTTGCCCCCTTTTTTTTTACACAATGAACTAACCAGCCCAGTGTTGAAGACCTCCCAGACACCATCCCTGCTTGGCCCTAAATCATGATTGGGTGAGTGGCCCAGTGGGTCCCTGCTGGACAAGCAGCAGCCGCCCAGCAGCTAGGCCAGCACAGGGCACAAGGTGGATCGACACCTAGCCAGCAATAAGTAATTCTGTAGAGGATTAGCAGCATGATAGCCTGATCAATACTGTGTGCTCAGACCATTAGGAATGCAGCGAGGAAATGACCCCCTCTGGTAATAAAGCAGGGCATCTGGGTTCTCCTTCATTTGCCAACTCCATTAGTGTAATAGTATCATTATCTGCCACAGCCGTATTTTTTCGAAGCCCTGGCTTTAGCATAGTTCAACCAGCGGGGGTCTGATGAAGCTCTAAGACCCCTATGCCAAGTGTTTCTGTTTCCACCATTCTGCACAGAGCCCTGGTGTAAATCTAGCTCTGTAGGAGTTTAYGTGCTACCAAGCCTCAGGTATACATACCCATGTTTTATGTCAGTACCAAAACACCATTTCCCCATTACTGGTTCATTAATAGACCAAGCAGCGTGTAGCTGAGATTTAGAAGGAGAAAAGATGGCCAGTACAGTGCAATGCTGCTGAATGTGCTAAATCTGACACCTCCTCTTGCTAAAACACCAGGCCTGACATGACAGGACATTGGCATTAGTTGCCATAAATCGTTTTCCTTACACTAATTCATCAGCTAACATTTTGTAGGGGGGAATTGATTAACCATGTCTGGATGTGTGGCTACATAATCAGCTTTTACCTCAATAGCTGTTAATTTAACAGGACCACCAAGGGAAACACAAACCATTTTAATGAGTGTTTAGAAATTAAATACCCTAAACAGCTTGCACTAGGTGCCACAACTCGAGCAAGCCAATGAGGCTGATCTAAGCAATGGGCTGGGCTGAGCCTAGGACCTCATAACATCTGGTGACCCTGTGTGATCATTACTTAGCCTGCTGCTCGCTCTCGCTTTCTCTCTCACACACACACACATCCTGTTGCAACACAACACTTCACACATGTCATCACTGCCCAAATGGCAAGCTTGCATCAAAGATAAGCAACGCGGTGAGTTAGCATCAGAGAACACTGGGTTAAGGAACAGGGTCAGTGCTGTTTGCACACTTGCCGAAACATAAGCGGAAAGTCATCATGTGATGACAAATGATAATGAAATGTTTCCAATTCATTAAAGGTGAGCTGAATGTTAATGGAGATGGAGGTGTGAAGGGGGTGCAGCTACTGGAAAACATAAGGAAAAATATTAACTGTCAAAAAATAAAAAACAAGTATTGACTTTTTCCAATGGACAAAAAAARRAAAAAAGAAACAYACCAATTTTGTTACGGCCAAAAAACCACCTCATCCTAGCACAAAAACATTTTGTYGACAAAAGGAAGTTTTATCGAAATTGACGTGTTTCCAYTGAGCAAATTTATTTTCAAAATTMTAATTTGCGCATTTTCATCGTCAATGGAAACGCAGCTTGTGACAACTTATTTTCATCTCGGACAACCAGAGTCTGCCTTGTAATCAGGTGGACAACCAAGTGAAATCATAGATTTAAGTTTGTCACCATTACAACATGTGTTTTGTTGTYAAAGCTGTTCAACCAATGATGATATAGGGTTCAAGCAGATGGTTCGTTCAACCAATAAAGAGAACCTTAATGAACATTTCATCTAATCAGAGCAGACAGACTGCAGTTGAAAACTCTCTGCGTTTCCCAGACAAAAGAGGCTACTTATTTTATATATTGTATTTTGAAAACACCTTGCAAGCATTCCTATTGTAACACTGTGTGTTTTAWTGTGCAAAAGAAAACACCTAGGCTCTCAGTCATTTTTGAAGTGAAGGCTAAGAGGCTTGATTGACTGTGGTCTTCTTCCGCACCAAGTGCCCCTGAACTGCCTGGGACTCWAGTGTTAGCTATTAAATGTTGTTGTATTCAGAGCATTGTCGTTACAGACATGTGCAAACTGCGCATGTGACCAAACTCCAGATCTTTAAAGGAGTGGGACCGCTCTTCAGATCTAATAATTTAACATTACTGCTATGATAATATTTAAGAYGATTTGACCAAGTTTTCCCTGTGAAGGTCAGCTTCAGGTGTTTATCATACATATATGCAAAATTTAATTCTACACCAAGTGTTTTAGCAACAACAAGGTGTCGTGGCTGTTTTGTGTTAAACTTAATTATATGTAGAACCATACTGAGAGGTAACTGCTTTGTGATGAATAATTACCTCTCAGTATGGTTCTAATTTTAATAAGGTGTAGAAAAACAATTCTGTGAAAATATGTTTTGTTTTGTTTTTTGCTTTAAAGTTAGGTAAAGTCTGATGAAAAGGAATGGGAGGGGAATGAGGAAGTTCCACTGAMTTGTATTTACTTATTAAAGGACATTTTTCCTGAAATTTTTAGCCATTTTTTTGTAAAGTTTGCAGCCAACCAAAAACTTTGGAAGGCAACCAGATATGTGTAGTGAAATGTCCTTCTGTCTACCTCTGAATAGGCTGGTAATAACTTTTGTAACCCTGGCTAAGGCATTGCGTACCTTCCCCTTCCTAAACAATCATRTCAGAAAACACATTCTGTAATTAAAAAGGGTCAAGCTATTATTTTGCATGAACGGAGGAACAATTGAGGAGAATGCTGAAAATAYTAAGACTGAGTTAAGAACTGTCCAATAATATACAAAATTAGGGAAGTACAATAGTAAACCTTCATATTGGAGGAAATGTGATAGAAAAATCTTAGGGGGAMTAATCATGATTAGAGATTCTGAAAGCTTTGCTGAAACCTTATTAATATGCAGGAGGATGCATTGGAGTCTGTTATTGTTCTTATAAGGCTTTTATTTCTTGGAATGACACAAGTAKCCAGTGTATTTCCAAACAAGAGAGCTACGACATTTCAGACCCAACACAGTTTCTGAAACTACAAAAACTACTTAGAAAGCAGCTCCCTCTCTGGCTGATCTACATTCATAATGCCATTTTGCAGTCGCTCTTGCTCGTCCTTTTATTTATCTAAAAAGAAAGGAAGCTGAGCCATTAGGTCTGCGTGGCCCGACTGCCTGAGGCCCAGCTGGAACAGATTCTTTCTCCGAGCTGCTCATCTGGTCGCCACGGCCGCTTTCATAAACGGGAGGAACCACGTCTTACATAGTTTCATTGCTGTCTAACATGATCCAAACACATGTGCCACAGAAGAAAGTCAGCAAGTGGAAAGATGAGAGGGGAGAAGGACGCACAGTATGAGAGGTGGCTACATGTGTAACAAACTAGAACAGCATTTAGTCAGTGTCCCTCCACCAAACAAGGTAAATAAACGAGAAACTGATMAATTTCTGTATGGTTGCACAGAAGGGGAAGGTCTGAACAAGCCTGGAAAGTTTAAAAAAAAATCACCTGATTGCTCTGAAATGGTTACAGGTTCTGCAACTGTTGATTTAAAGAAGAACACATTATTTTTTACAATGRTTTGACAATATCAGGCAGTCAGAGCTCTTGTTATTACCGATTGGATCAGTATAAAGCCTGAAGCAGCTGGAGACTATTGACTGGGCATCCTGCCAAATCCCAGAAACACTACACGCCAACTTTCACATTTGTTTTATATACTTAAAACAATTTTGGCTGGGACACAAATATAAACTAATGTATTGTATCCAAGTCGTACAAAACATCCCAAATTAAAGCATTTAATTCATTTATTTAAGGTTTGCCTTAACAGCAACGCATAAAATAATAGAGAATCATATTAAGTTCTCAGTAATTTCGCCTGCATATATTAAAATCCACAACATATTTCCCAATATTATCGACTGATGTCCAGACCTCCTTCTGGAACCTAAAGCTTCATTTCAGCCTCTTTGGTAAGAAAACACCCATTTTTTTGATATAACTGTAATTCTTCATTGTGGTACACACTGAGGGGGGAAATGGAAAACACAATAAAGGAAGCAGGCAAGGTGAGGTATGCGCTGACATTTGCGGCTTTGTAGCCTTCAAAATGCAGCCAGACGCATCGCATAAGGAGCGTTAGATGTTCAACGAGCAGCAGGGCTTAGATATATGCCAGACCTAACGGAGAAAAACGCTATCAATACCTTTCTTCTCTTCTCCCCCTCACTGTCACCCGATCTTTTCATGTTCCTGGAGTTGTGTTTACAGTGCCTCGCATTCATTAGGGGCGATGTTGGTTGTTGTAGTGCACGAATGAACGTCATTTCTGTCCTTTCCCGACTGACATGGTGTGGATAATAGAAATGAATGTCTTTAAATTCACTGACATCAACACTGTCACTGCCCGCAATGTAACGTGTTGACTCCCAAGGGTTCTCGGCGGACAGCATAAAAGCGTAGCGTAAAGAACTACAAGTCCCAGAGTAAAAGACTACACACGGCGGAAAGAGCGTCAGCACGCTCTTGAGATTAAAACTGCGCATGCGCAAAGTACAGAACAGTTCAAAGAGATTACTTTACTGCAAACAGGTAGTTTAAAATGTGTTTAAATACAAGTTTACAT